AGGAGGCCATGAATAGCAATGGGTGCCCTGGGGTGCAGACAGGCCACTTCGTGCTGGGGGCAGAACCGGGGTCAGCTGAGTCTACAAAGGACATGCTGGCTAAAAAACAGGTGAGGGCTCATTCTGGTACCCTTGGGCAGAGTCCCTTTTTACAATAAAAAAACTCCATCAAGACAAGGCAGATGAGAGAAAAGGGAGGATACCCAAGGAGCCAGAGCAAAGCAGGAGCTATGTGGCTACCAGGGTTCTGTCACAGGTCTCGTTGTCAGGGTAAAGTCAATTTAAAAGGATCAGTCTGTTTTAAAATATCTACTGGGGAACAAGCTGGTTCACAGACCTCGGGTAAAATCTGAAGAGACTGAGCCACTCAGTGCCACAGGCTCAAAAGCCTCTAGTGCAGGGGTGGACAAAACACGGCCTGCAGGCTGGATCCGGCCTGCCAAGCACTTCCCTCCGGCCCATGGAGCCTCTTCAAAACCCACATAATGGTGGCTGCATCTCTAAAAGCCTCCGGTGGCACCAGGTGCAGCACCTCAGGCTATTTCCTTGAGTTGTGGTTGCGAGGCAACCACCCCTGACTTCAGGCTGCCCCAGCTGGCCTTGCCCCGCCCCTGGCTAAGGCCATGTTTGCAGCTTGAGAGGGGCAGGGGGCCTGAGCCAGATCCTGTGGTGCAAGTGAGGGGAAACAGTGTCTGGGCCACCTTGTGCTTTGCTGCACAGGACTGGAAAGGGCCCTGCCCTGCAGGTGAGCCCAGGAAAGCGGTTGCTGGGCAGGCTTTCCCCATGCTGTGCCATGACACTTGGGCCATGCAGGGTTGGGCTGGGCCAGCACTGGGGAGGGGAAGCAGCAGCTGGGCTGCAGCTCCAGCCCAGTCAGCATCAGGGAGGAGAGGTGGCAGCGGAGCCATGTGCCACTCAGGACAGGATGAGCCCAGCCGGAGCGGCAGGGGCTCAGTTGCATTTTCCACCTACCTGCGCTGGTCAGTCCCGAGCGGCACACAGCTCCACCGGCGCTTCTGCTGGCCAGTGCAGACCCGGCCGGGCTTGTCCCATCCCCAGCAGCATGTGGGAAACTGGCTTCAGTTGCATGCTGCTCCAGATGGGACGGACCTGGCTGGGTCTGCACTAGCCAGGAAAGGCAGCGTGCAGCTGAAGTCAGCTCTTCATGTGCTGCTGGGGATGGGAGGAGCCCGGCCAGGTCTGCACCGGCTAGCAGAAACAGCGGCAGAGCTGTGTGCCGCTCAGGACTGACTGACACAGGCAGGGGGAAAATGCAGCTGAGCTCCTGCTGCTTCAGCCAGGCTCATCCCATCCTCAGCAGCACATGAGGAGCCAACTTCAGCTGCATGCCACCTTCCCTGGCCGGTGCCAACCCCGCCGGGCTCCTCCCATCCCCAGCAGCACATGGGAAGCCGACTTCACCTGCATGCCGCTTTTCCTGGCCAGTGCAGACCCAGCCGGGTCCGTCCCATCTGGAGCAGCATGAAGCTGAAGCCAGCATCCCACGTGCTGCTGGGGGCGGAGTGAGCCCGACTGGGTCAGCACTGGCCAGCAGAAGCAGTGGCAGAGCCTCCTCCTTTTGGGACCAGTTGGCACAGGTAGAGGGAAAGTGCAGCAGCACCTGGGGAAGCCACTGCTTGATAGGGGATGGGATGGGCTGGCCGGGCCCCACCAGGGAGGGAAAGCTGTGGCTGAGGAGTCCTACAGCACCAGAGGCGAGGGGACCTGTGCCTGGGCTGGCTTCTGCTGTGCCGGGGGGGGGCGGGATGGGATGGGATGGGATAGGACCAGGTCATGCTGGCACCAGTGATGGGTGCAGGGGTTGGCCAGCTTTTGATGCCTGGGGCCTGGTGACCAGTATTGGTCAGGGGAAGGGAAGCTGGGGCAAGATGTTAGAGGGGTCAAGACCCCTTGCTACCTGGTAATTGGTCAACCCTTTCAGCCCTAGTTTCCTACGATCCTATGAGGCAGATATCTTCTTTGATAAGCTATTAAGAA